AAAAAAAAAAAAAAAAAAAGAAAAGAAAATAAAATGAAAAGAAAGAGCAAGAAAAGAAAAAAGACAGTAGAAGAATAATAAACGCAAACTCTAACGCTATATTGTTGTTAAACCGTTAATCGTAAAATAGCAAATCGCGAAACAATTGAGAAAGCAAAATCGAAGGAGCTTTTTCGGCAAGTCCGTCTCTAATGTAAAATGAAAAGATTCGTCTTTCCGTGATCCGTAAATCATCATTTGTAAAAATGTAACTAATCGAAAATGAAATTTTTGCATCAAAGAGGAAAAGGTACGTTTATCGAAAGTGGCCGATCAAAGAACTATTTCCTCGGGCTACGACGACGACGACCGTCCCTGTTATTTCTCTCAGCGCGTCTCATCTCTTCTAGTCTGCGCGCGTGTTCTGCCATATGTTGCCTTCTCATTTCTTCTTTTACGACTATCTGTAATTGAAACGTACTGCGTACAAGTTTACTCTTCACACACTATGCGACAAATATACCTCTCGCTTTATATATTTTGCATATTTTGCATATTTTGCATATTTTTGCACGTTGCGACGTAATATAATTTAATATTATTATTAATTCAATTATTCGGATAATAAAAATAATAATTTCATTCAGATTTTACTTTTTCCGTAATATACCTGTTCATTCGTGAGTGGTAACCAATATATGCATGGTGTTGCCTTTGTCTTTCTAAAAAGATCGTCTAAGAGCTTCGCTGGCGGTGGTTCGTCCTCTTTTTTTTTAAATTTACGAGCTGGAGCTGGAAGGTGTGCTTCCACTGCTGGACTCCGGCTCCTCTGCCGCCTTTTTTTCTCATGTTCTTTCTTTTCACGTTCCTTTTCCTTTATATGCTGTTGACCGTCTTCTTTACCAAGATCCCATTCCCGAACTACCATCACCTGTCATTTCCAAAAATTTCTTTCTTAATTATTGCATTACCAATAAATAAAGTTACTTAACCACTTGATGATCCACGATCTGTCCATTCTCTCTCTGTATCGTAACGAGTCACACACAATTTCTCTCCAACGTGAGACACATCTCAATCGATTCTCACTTTGCAATTACACAAGCTATAAATTGGTACTCTTAAATCGTTGAAAGATATCTCAGAACTTTGTCCGACATTTATATTTATATCTCAACGTAAAATTCAGATAAACGATCGTATTGTTAAATTCGAGATATTTCTTTTGCAGAGAGCTCTCAAAAAAGATATATATATATATATATTTCTTCAACTGTACAAATATATCCTTACTTTACAATACTTTTTATATCTACTTCCTTTTCTTAAAACTTGCGTCTAAACTGTAAAATACATATGATCGATATACCTACCTTTGTACTTGTCCTCTCTTCGCGGTTCCAATCCTGCTGCCACGAATCAGACGGTATAAGAGGTTCCGTTTTTCTCGGGACGGACTGGTCTTTCGACAATTCACGTGCCAATTCCATATCGTCTTTGGTCGCATATTCAACATGGAGCCTTTTCGGGTTTGAAACCGGCCAAGATATACCATGTAAAGCTTGTCTCGTTTCAAATGCCTGATCCTCGTTGGCATACTAACAAACAAACGATCATCGATCAATTTATTGCTATTACGCCCGCGTTTTGTCTCTTCTTTTGTCTCTGACAAAATTAAATGTTACCAATATTTTGCAAAGATTAACATTTGTTAATATAATTAAGTTTCTCGCAACTTAAAATTATGCTTAAAATTACTATTATTTCTATAGTATAGAAAATTAAAGTTTACACATACCTCTACAAAACATTTGGACTTGATTCTATCCATCCAAAATCCATTTTCGACGATTGTGCCAGTACGCGACAAAAGTTCTTTAATTTGATTCAAAGTAAAAGGACGAACCAAGTTCTTAATCAAAAGGATATTTGTAGGCTTCGTAGCAGGTGGGCTCGGAGATTTTACATGTGGCACTTCCTTAACAATCGATATTTTACGCCTTGCTGCTACAAACCACAACAAGAGTACATGCATAAATATACGAGACGTGTATTTCGTACTCGTCGTTCATAATATTCTGTTTCAGAGGAAAAGGGCAGAAGATATTCCATTTACAAAATAGTTGGAAAGTGTACACGTAGAATTACAAAAGTAGTTGAAGAGAGACAACAATGTCAAAGATATTAAACGTTCGATGTTTCTTAAATTCATCTCAATCTTGATATCGTGCGAACTACTATCGATTTCTGAATCAAATTAATTGTTTAACAAAGTACCCTTAATTACAAACACAACTCTTCACTGCAGAACACTCGTCTCTAAGGAAAATAAATTTCCACTTCGTTCCACTGCAATCTAACCAAATGTTTTAACAAACAGATAGAGTTTACATTCTACATCTGTGTGAGATAAATCTTTACAATTCAATCATTCAATGAATAGAACTGTCGAATAATCTGAATCTGTAGTTGCGTTCCAAATGTTTCTTTGCAATATCTATTTTAAATATCACACGTTCAACCGATGCAGTTTCTACCCACTAAACCATTTTTGGTACGACATAAATCGGAATGATTTTGACAGTTTCACGTCATTTGGAAAAAGAAAAAACGTTTTAGAAACCCGCGTAAAGTAGAAAAGTATTCGCATACCTATGTGATTATCTATTTTTGGGTCTCCCTTCTTTGTTGCACCATTTTTTTGCATGATATTCTCGTCACCTGATTTGTTATCATTCACTCCTTCGGTAGAATTGTGCCACTTTTCGTTAACTCGATAACGATCTCTATCTTCATCGTCGTCTTTCGAAAGACGAACCTCGTTTATCGATAACGGCCTTGCTCCGGGCACCAATGCCTGTGACAAGTACACACGGACATTTAGAAAATTACAGATAATTTTGTCTCCAACGTAGGTAGAGTAACGCGATAAAGTTAAAGAACAATGTTTACAACAATGATACATTTGCGTGCAATTATATTTTTAATTTCACAAAAATGACTTGCGAAATGTGAAACATCAAGAAGGAAAGTATTACTTTCAGCGAATCCGTAGAAATTGAAAACGAAGGTGCAGTATCAGTGGACAATGCAGTGCCCCATCGACGTTTTCTAGGAGCGCATTTTGAATCTTGTTCGGTGCTATCGTGATTTTCCTGTAACGTAAGATAGAATTTTAAAATTAATCGATGACACTGTACACAATTACGATATATATTTAATAATACTTAGTATTATATTACAATAGTTAGTGTCTGATGGATTATTGCTTACTTTAATCAAGCTAAATTACAATTATTTAACAAGTAAATTTAGTAAATTGTTAATTTACCAAATTTAAGAAAAGTTAGAAAAAGATGCAACGACGAACCTTGTTTGGAGCGCCCGTTTCGTTATTTGCGTTTGCATCGTTATCTTCCTTTTTGACATCGTTCTTTTCTGTTAATATCCTCGAGGAGCTGAAACAACATTTACAGAGTTACACGACAAAGTATACGACTACTTGCGCGAATTTCGAATATAATCGTCAATTATATCACGCTTACAATGATCTTTTCAAATTTACTTTCACAGGTTTGTAAGTCACCAATTGAGTCGTTGTCGATACAGGATATTCCGACTTCTCGGTTAGACTATTATTATCTAACTTTTGTTTACTCGGTTCGCCGAGTAAATGCTCCACATCCATCTCCATGTTGTTCGATAAGAAATTGTTTCTCGCTTTCGGTGACTCGGAACGATGATCTATTGTGATCTGTTTGTGGGGATCCTCGACATTTGCTTTCTCTTCTTGCATGTAGACATCGATTTCAAGTTCTCTCTTAATAGAAGGTTCATCCTCGGAATCTGCCGTGTCGGAATTCGACGAATCTCGATACTTTGTCCGATGTTTTCTGCGACTGGCACTTTGTATCCTGCCACTAGCTGCTCTGTTGCTCTTGGCGTGAATCTCGTCATTCGATTCGGACGACGAACTCGGACGATTTAGCTGATTTAGCTCGCGAGCTTTCCCCTTTTCCTCTTCGTCCTCGCTGCTCGAATCTTTCCGAGTGTTTTCAACACACTCGGAGCTAGTTTCTTTATTGGTTGTGGTGGTGGTGGTGGTGGAATGAAATATTTCCACTGTCTTTTCCACTTTGTTAGTGTCGTCTTCCGCGGATTTCTCTTCCTTTGGTATAATTTGGTTTGTCTCCTCGGACGAGCGATTACCATTCGAACTAGGAGCCATGGACGACATGGTTGTCGTGTCGCTCGACTTAACGGGTGCACTATCAGCGTTTTCGTTGGAGAAATTTGCCTCATTTGATTCACCTTGCTGATCTATGTTTGGTTTATCGTCAGACAAGTTGGCTGAAGTGGTTTCAGGCAGGATCTCCTTGCTATCACTTACCTCTTCATTGGAGTCCTGGCCTGGGTATGAAGAGGAGGGATCGTTCGGCTGTTCAGCGCTACTGGCTATTCTCGTACAAGAAACCAGTTGCATGTCTGCCGAGTCAACCTCCTCTGCAACTCCCTCACCACTTTCCTGCCACTTGTTCGATTTTTTCCTATTTAAAGAAGTATCAGATAATCTTTCTGACGTGTTATGATGCTGTCTAGATAATTTTAATTTCTGTATCTCGCCAGGCGACGCGTCGGCTCTTGACACTTTCCAAACTGATCCACTATTATTGTCTTCTTCCTCTTCTCGCGTCAACTTGGTCTTCACATCCGCTTCGCTAGGTAACACCTTCTCACTCTGTTGCTCTTCCACTTGTTCCCTTCTCTGTACGTAAGCTGCTGACTTTTTCTCCGTCACTTTATTGCTCAAGCTCTTTGCTGTTTCCTCCACGTTCTCTTGCTCCGGGGATGTTGACGTCACTTGCTTTACGCATCTTCGAGTTGACTTTCGCGTTACTCGTTCAACCTCCTTCTCCGGACTTGCTGCTTTTGCTTTATTTCTTTCGCTCTTGCGTCTCATATCTAAGAGTAAAATAAATCTGTCAGCACCTCTGGTCAGCACATTTAGCACTGCGTTTAGCGTTTATGTTATCTACATCTAATCTAACAATCTAAACGTAGAAATATAAATATAAATTAGGTAAGACATATTAACGTCTCTTAAACGTCTCATAAAAAAACTCATTACTTTCTGAAACTTGTCTGGTAAATATTTGACGCTTTATGTTTGCACAATGCTTCAATGCTTCGATGCTTCAATGCTTCAATATATACCGTATACGATGTTTGTGTACTTTATAATGCGACAAAATATTACATAATATCAAATGTAGCCAATTTTTTATAATACACTTTTGTTACAATACACTTTGAATCTACAAACACGGTTCTAAAATAGTTCAACGCGTTAATGCTCTTGACATTGTACGTGTGCATCAATATCAAAGGGAAGTATTTGCTTCAAATTAACATCTCGATATTTTATTCATAGGTTAAAGCAAAATTAATTACATCTATCAACATTCAATTCATGTTTGTTTTACCAACTATTAATCTTCTTTTCAAGCATATCTTTATCCAACGATTATGCATATCCCAATATATATGTATATATGATATAAAAGTGTGTTACACACTTACCACTTAAATTACACGTAAATAAAAACAAAACCTCAAACGACAAAATGTAACGAAATAACAATCTATTTCTACTAGCTAGATTGTAAAAGATAAAAATCATAACATTCGGTATTATCCTTACTTTGTGATTCCTTTGTAACACCCAAACTTAACCAAAATGTTATAAATGTTTATAAACCAAGGCAACTGTAAAAAAAGGATCTAAAAATATCTGAAATTTGCAAGACCGAGAGATGTAGAAGCAACACAATTCAATCGCACTCGGTAGCAAATCGCGTTTGCAGTTTGACGATTGTTCAAAGCATTTCATTAGTGTTTGGACATGCTACACAGGAGCACGTAATTGACAAATACCCAAAACTATATAGTCAGAGGGAAATTAACGTACACACAACAGGCACTGATCACTGGCACTGTGCATTGCGCAAACGAAAGGAACTGCTTTGAATAATTGTTTCTGAAAGATATTTGCAGAGAGGAAACCATCGGAGGAGCATCCAAATCTAATTTGTGGTTACCCGAAAAACGCGCGGGTGTTTCGCGGTCTGAAAGTTTAGGAGGGCCAAACTTACTCGGTAAATGTGTTTCGTCCGCTGGCTAGAAGTTTATTAAATATATATATATATATATTTATTTTCTGGAAATTTTATTGACACATATATAAATATCGCGCTACAATCGAAACGACGTTTCCAATGACGCTTCTAACAATCGGTCGTACCACCGTACTCCATTGAACACAAACGTTTTACATCGTATCAGATAGAACTGTGTGAGATCGGAAACGAACGCACTCGATACACCTATATATACGTTTAAAAGTTTCGTCGCCACGTAAGTGACTAGACCGTCGTTCGTAAATTCGCTCTTTCCAGTGCAGGCAATCGCGTCGCGTGAAAATGGGATTTGAGTACAGCGCTGCAGCGCTGCGCGATAAACTTGCGTTTAGTTTCGCATCTATTTAATTGCCTAGCAATTGCTAGTTGCACTGGCAAACGAATTCGCGTGAATTGCACGCGTGTCTGGGTTGTTTGAAAAGTATCTAGTTTTTTTTTTCCATTTACTTTTTTCGAAAGTGAAAGAAATTTCACGTCTTATCGTTTCGTCGTTTGATATTGAAATTCGTCGATAAAAACTGTGTTGCAAACTTTATCGAGCAGCTCAAAAATACTACACTGTACGGTAGTACCCCGTGATGGTAATAAAAATTGCAACTAGACGATTGTTTACGTTATTCGTAACATTTTCGAATCTTGTTACGTAATTATCTATCAGTTACACGCATTTCGTTGTTTGTAATACGTAAGTCGTCTTTCAATCAGATCGAAAAGAGTTTGCGCAATTTAATTAATAACGAAAATAGGCAAACTACGTAACGATTAAGATGTTTCTAACCAGTGCTTCGATACCCAATTGTACAAGTACTTTTACAAGTACAAATAATTTCACTGTCGATTAGTCATAATGCTGTATCTTTTATTTTTTAATAATTCTCACACGGAGAGGTCGAGTTCGAAAGAGAATTTAAAACTAAAAAATATTGCAAGAGGACGAATAAATTCACGAAAATTTATTCACGAAAATGTTCGATCGTCATGGCAGGAGAACATTCAGTTGTACAAAAGTGTCTTGTAAAACATTTTGAAGTTTCATCGACACTCCAGATTCTTGCGATTACGTTGGTTGGAAAATTTGTTGGAGATCATACGATCGTATTGGTTAATAAAATTAGAAACCAACACGCAAAAGTGTGTTGCGCTATAGAAGTTATTGCAAATATTGCATTACTTAAACACAGCATGAATGAACTATACGAGAGAGTATATATACTCGAACCGAATACTTTGTGATTTCTATATAAATATCTTCAGATTTATTTCAGACTCGAGAGTGAGAATTTACTTTCGATATATACTTGCATTAATAAAATTTAAAAATATTTTATCTAACACACATATGTATAAATATCATTCATAAAATGTTTCTACGAGTGTTCGACGAACGCCTTCAACGTGAACAGCTGCACACAACCGTACAAGCATACACACATGAAAGAGTACGATAAAAAAAATTATGCAACTCAACGTGCTTGATGTGTCGATATTACATAATACGCACACATACTCGCTCGATAAATTTCCTAAATACATGTAGTAAAATTTTTGAAACATTCTACAAGATTTAGGTCTACAACTTAACTTTTCCGTACAATTGCCTTCCAAATTGAAAAAAATTGTCGTATTATTACGTATTGTTTATAATTATAATGTAATTAACTTTCTCGAAAATTGTCACAGTAATTCGTAGCATAGTCGCGGACAGTAAGTTTCTTTCGTCTTGTAAAACTCGGTATAGATGAAATGATTGTAAATATTTCTTCGGAATGTTTCGTCAGTGT